AGCTTGATGTTCAAGAAGTTAAAGAACCGACAGTAATTGAACATCCTCAATGGGACTTTAGTGAAGAAGAAAATGGTCAAAATACAAAAGAAAATGACGATGAATTCAAAACGGAAAGTGATACAGATGATGAATAATCGATGTATTATAATCTATTTTGTAGTTGTTATTATTCTTTCAAAATGCTTCTTCACATGTAAAAATATTTGTTTATTTTTCATTTCAAAAAAAAAAAGTATATATATCGGTTTTCTGAATGTTGTTATTATTGTTGTTTTTTTTCTCTGATTGTTCTGCTCGCAATAAGATCGTTGTTGTTCTTTATTTCTTTGTTTTATTTTTATGTGCTTTTTATTCATATAGCTTATCTATAACGAACAGATGAAAGAGTAATCACTAAATGATATTCATCTTCTCATACGCTCTCGTTTCGGTGACAAATGTTTTATATAAAATCTTGCAATCATTAATTAAATGTAAACTCATAATAAAATAATTTTTATCGTTAAAGTGTTGTTTATCTTCTGTTTCATAACTTCTCATCACTAAAATTTGTTAATTTACGTTCATGAAAAGAACGAAAGCATAAAATGATATATGAATTGTAACTAATTACTTCTTAGTGAATGGCATGGATATCTAGTAATACAGTTGTACAGTAATTTTTAGTACAAATTTTATTAAAAAAGAAGTTTATTTTTAATATATGATTTTATTAGTTTCATGAACTATTTAGAAATAGTAAATTAAACCATACTGCTGTACTCGACCATTGACAGATAAAGTAAATTATTGTAAATGTCGACATTCTAGATTAATATGATCATGAGTTTAAACAAATACTAAATAATAAAACGTTAAATTGGAGAAAAATAGACTATATAATCAACGAAGGCGGCTTGAGATACAAGCCCTATATCATCTCGGTGATTTTGTCCTGAAGAAATATTTAAATGATTGCATTTACAGACCAATATAACACGTCTTCCTTTTTTACGGGTAAAATTTTTATTAAGAATAAGAGTATAACAGCAGTTGATTTAATCATTATGTAATACTTTAGGATGTTTCGATTTTATTAGAAAATCATTTTCAAGGTTGTCCACAAATACAAACTTTATAAAACTTGAATGGAGTAGGCTATATACACAGTGTAAACCAGTATCTTTTACTTTCTTTCTTTTTCTTTACTTTTTCGCATCCTTTCTGTAAAGTCCATAGTGCAGAAGTCATAGTTCAGTTAGTATAGCTGCTCTGTTCTATTCCTTTCTTTCCACGATCTAAAGGAAAACAACGATTTGTAACCCTTCTGGAGATATTATCTTAGACATCGAATGCATTGTACAGTTCAAGGTTTTCAACTAAAGAAAGTATTAAACTTTTTGTTCATTAGCGTCAGATAGAATATGTGATAATAAATAGATAATTTCTGGATAATTGTGATTAGTCTGCGTTTGTTTTGTTACTTGCTTTTTGTATGAACTTTTCCTTTTTTGTAATTAAACTTGATTTTATTAAAACAGAATAATGAATAACAATCTTTTTTTTCTTCCTTGTTATGATAGGCATATTTTATGACTTTATATGCTTTGTACGCTTTGTACGCTTTGCATTTAATTCTAAAGCGTACACGTACGCTCTGCGGTCAGTTACAAAGCGTATTTGTACGTTTTCTGGCTGATTCTCATTAAAAACCCTGGTGGTGCTTGTGATGTTGGAGTTTTCCTTTTCTCTCATGTGATAAAGTCGCCTTTATCTGATCTGATATCGAGCAATTTCAATCTTCTTTTTGTTTCTTCTCAGATTTGAAAACAAGAATTCTTATGTCGAATAATTCAGAAAATTTTCTAGCCGATCTAGAAGCTCTTCTATCCGTTAACGAAACTGAAAGATATGAAAAATTCTTAGCAGTGATTGATAAATATGGTTATTTACATAAACATTCTATACAATCCGTAAATGAATTCGATAAAATTCATAATGATTTACTCGATTTGTTATTTGATGCAGATAGTGGTCCGTCGCTTGGTCTCAGTAAATTCGATAAATTTCAATCTATTATGACGGATTTACGTCGATTAATCGAAACTTTAGTCATTCAACATCGCATTCAAGTCGAAAAGTTGAATATTACCGGCATTACGATGAAACGATTAGAAGATGATGAAATGAAAGATTTAAAAGACTTGTTATATGAAACAGAAGAATTTCAAAAATTAGCGTTTGCAATTTCTACACCATTGAAGAATACACTGTCACGACGTTTTCGAACGGAAGAAATACGTATGGATCCATTAGATGAAGATGTAATTGATGCATTACTCACTGATACTCGTCCTTTCGGTATTTCGAAGGAAAAATTCGACAGTATTAGATGTATTTATGAAGGTATAGCTGATGTGAGGTTCTACTCACTCACTTCTCCCAGAAATAGTTTAGGAAAATCCCATTATGAAGCAAGAATTGCGCAATAACAGAAAGAAACGAAAACGAAAGAATGAAACAAGAGTTGCGCAATAATAGAAAGAAAGGAGAAGAAGAAGAAAACACAGTCTTATGAGCTGCCAGGAATGGCAGATCATAACAGCTGATACTATTGAAATTGAGTATAAACAGATTATTGAAATAATTCATTGTCGTCAACAACGTAATGTAGAACAACACGAACTATTGGATCAATATGTACGACGATGTAAAAAATCTGGAATGAAATCAAAATTTTCTGATTTATTAGAACATCTTCATTTACGCGGATTATATAAATACAAAACGCCAAAAATGAAAATATTAGGAAAAATTTTTGATTTTTATGTGACTCATGATGAATACCGTTAAAAAGGTCTAATCTTCTTTTTTTTTACTCATATGTGATGTGATTTTTTTTCTCTGAAGTTTCTCTCTATTGATTCTATCTTTTCTCATTTATAAAAAATAAATTTTATCATTGATGAAAATGAATTAGTTTAGTTTTTCAAAACGAAGAGACTGCCTTCGACCTTAGAATACAATTGGCTGGCTCTAATACAGCTCTTTGCAAATGGATTCTGATATTCTGGTCTATAAAAAAGAATTTTGTTACTCGGCTGTTGCCTTTTAAATGTTATACAAAAACTACGTATTCTTAGTTTTTCAAACCTTTTGTTTTTCGTAGAAAACTAGAATTACATTTACTCTCTTTTGTAATAAAACTAAATGTCATTATTTTATCCCATTCATAGGATTTTGCAGAGTTTGTCAAAACCGGGAAAAAAAGGATCTCTACAGTGAAAGTTATTTTTAGAAGGTGTATTATACTTTTGAGAAGTTCTAGACACATTTTCAAGCCCGCGAACACACCGACAACCAGTTTGTAACACCTTAGACTATAAAATCACGCGAAAATCGCATACCTCATCTAACAAGACATCTTTTATTTTTACAATCGATTTATTAATTTATTTATTATTCTTCGATTTTCTATCGATGAAAAGTAAGTTGAATGTCTGTTGAGAAGAAGGTAACAAGGAAGTGAAGTACTCTACTGTAGTATGTCAGCGCTTCCATTTGAAAAGAAAGTAGCTACTCAAAGACGCTTTTTAAACGGCGTTAATTTTTTTGGAAGGAATCGATATTCGATAGGGGCTTGGACAAGCCATCAAGGCATACTATGCCTTTAAAGCAGCCTGTCAAACAGACGTCTGATCGCAAAACTAGACTTCAACTGCATCATCGATGACATACTAAGATTTTCCTGCTTGTTAATTCACCTGAAAACAAGAAAAATGAAAACCTCTATTTCGTTATTTTACCTTTACCTCTTAAAGATAAAGAGTTTCAAGAAATGCACTAGAAAATTTTGCCGTTTTTGTACTACAAGTAATTTCTCCGCCAAAATCGATTATAATATCAAGATTAAACAATTGTTAAAACATAACACATGTCGAAAATAGTCTCATTGGATAGACAAGGAAATTCTGCATCGATTAGACTGCTTTAGAGATTTTTACCATGTGACATGACTAAACAGGAGATCAAAAATACTTTAAAGCATTTTCACAATGATCGATAAAGAACAAGATTTTGAGTTTTATAACAAGATTTTGAGTTTTTTTCAAGATTTCGTCAAACATAACACATATCGAAAATAGTCTCATTGGATAGACAAGGAAATTCTGCATCGATTAGACTGCTTAAGCAGTTTTCAAGTTTGTGTTAAAAGGGCAGTAAATCTGTAATATTCACCCTAGTAAGTAAATAATTAATACTTAATATCCTAAAAATTAAAATATTTACTAATTATTCAACTAATCATTGCATTAAATAAAATGAATAGCAAGTATTTTATTCGTTAATTCGACATGAGTCTGTAATATGGTTTGAGTAAATTGCAAAGAAAGCAGTAAAGATTAGTGTAGAAAAAGTAACTTAAATAAAAGAAAATTATGGCTTAAAAAATAGATATAGCTCAAGATAAATTAAACATGATACTAGACTGATATTCAAGCTAAATTTTCCCTAATTTTGTTTCCTTTTTCTTGCCATTTACTAATCAGCATTTTGTAAATAATTGCAATAAACATTCATAGGTTTTTGATAAGCAATACTCGAATGAAATTTTTGATTATTATATTTATCCATGTAGCTGTTAACACCTTCTTTAAGCTCCTTAATGTTTTTAAAATCATTAGGCTGTGTTGACAAAATTTTTATAGCTTGATTTATGCGTATTTTATCTGCAAAATGGCAGAAATTTTTTGATAAAATTTTGAGATCTTAATATTATTATTTTTTAGCATCTCTGTATATTCGTAACCAGTATAGAATAAAGATTGACAAATAATGCAATTTTGCCTACACTTTAAAATCTCTATTTCGATTACAGGGAAATACTATAAGTATCAAGATTACAGCAGTTGAAAAACAGTATAATAATGCTGTGTCTACTTTTTATATAAATGATAGTAGTATTGTTGCAGAAATTAGAGCATTTGGTTTGGGACCAGAGGGTCAAGGGTTCGATTCCCTTCATCTCCACCATTCTCCAATTTTGCTACATTTCACGAACATGTCAAACGGTAGACGCAAGGAGTAATCCAACTTGCAGCCGATTATTCTAACACAATGAACCGACACACATTTAAAAGTTTTATTCCTCAATGGTGGTTATTTATTACAACGGCACAAAGAGCTATTGTACCACCTGTTGCAATATCAACTGCAATAATTTTTTATATTGTAATCATCAAATTACAGAATTATAATTGGTACGGTGCTATCGCTTATATCAAATGCTCTTTTATTAGCACGAATAGTGGAGTAAAGGCTTGGGATGGAAATGAAATATTAGCACAAATAAGCTGTAGTGAAGTTATTAATGATCCTAGGTACTTTAATGCTTTCTGCAATATTGTAAGCTTTTTAGCACAAATAATGTTATTTATACTACTAACTACTATTGGTATTCTAACAATATTTTACATTGCTCGTGTTTGTTATGCTATATTAATTCATTTTAACAAATAAATATAGTAGGTCCTGTGAAGGAAATTTTTATAGCTTAATTTATGCGTATTTTATCTGCAAAATAGCAGGAATTTTTTGTAATAGGTACACTATCCTACTAAACTCCCATTATTTTTCGATTAAACTGCTCTCTAAATCACTTCTATAAAAATTTCTGTCCCAGAACTAAAGCATACTAATAAAATGAGGGTTCTTGAAAAATAAGTATTATACTGCTTCTTCCGGGGGATATGATAATATATTCTTTGTCTTTCAAGAGTTGTTAATTAATTCTTGAAGCAAATCAGAAAACTGTGCTAGAATTACAAAATGTTGTACAAATTAGTAACTTGGGTGTAAAGTGAATTATTAAAATAATATTAAAATATTTTTATGGAAGACATTGACACTTGGTAAACAAAATTTGAATCATGCTATTACTCAAATAGACTACTTGACAAACTTAATCACTTAAATACAAAAGCAATCAATCCAGTTGACGTTAATGAAATAAAAAAAGCTATATATTATACAAAAAAATATCATGCTGATCAGAAACGTCAATCAGGTGAACCTTTTTACTCTCATCCGTTGGAAGTTGCTTACATGATTTCTGATTACCTCTTGAAAACTGATGTTATTGTGACAAGCATACTTCATGATACCATTGAAAATACAGCTCTTACCAAAGAAATGATTGCTAAAGTTTTTAGCCACGTTGTTGCAATTCAAGTGGAAGATTTAACGAGAGTGAAGTTAGATCAAAAAATTAGTGCAATAGAAATGATCCAATCATTATGGCATCAAAAAAATATGACGTTTTATTAATTCAGCTGTTTGATAGATACCATAATATGCAAACTTTAAAATTTCAATCTCCTACGCAAGTGAGAAAGGTAGTAGAAGAGTATTCTGCAAGCTTTATCACTCTTAGTATGTATTTTAGAAATAAAATACCTAAAATGTTACAAATAGAAGAAGAGATGTATAGGCTCTGTTATCAGAATTTAGCATTTTAAGCAATCTTTGTTACAAAACCAATGTCAGTTATTTATTTAGGTTCTACGTACCTGCGGGGAATAACGAATTTACCTTAATTAATGATCAAATTTATTATAATAAGCTGCAGGGGTGTGATCAAGATCTTCATTTTGTAGAATTTTCTCTATTTTCCGGCACATTCTTAGTAGTTTAGGTATTATACCTTCTGTTTGATTACAATATTATAACGCGGTATAACTAAATTTATTGGAGAGTATTTATTATGCAAGAATATCCAATAAACAAGGTAGGAACATTCTCATCGTTAAACACAAAACAAAAGAGTACTATAGGATTACTGTCAATAGGCACATTCCTAGAATATTTTGACCTAATGCTGTACGTACACATGGCGGTATTTCTTAATGAATTGTTTTTTCCAAAAACTGATCCTCATACTGATCATATCACTATTCTTTATATCTTGCGGGTGGCCTGTATGTTTTTATTTTGTTTATATGCATGGTAGTAACATTTTAAAAACTATTTTTGGTTATAGCGCAGAACAAATAGTGCAACATAATTTTATTATTTCCATTGTAAATCTACTAGGATATTTTGTATTAGCATATTTAAGTTATATTATATATCCATTAAAAATTCTTAAAGTTAAACTCTTTATACTATTACCTGTTACTCTAATAACCCCTTATTTACTGAATCATATCAATGCTCCATTACAGTTGTTTCTTATTCAATCATTTTTTATGTTGGTTGTTCTTACTGGGAACTCTGCTGAGCCAATTTTTTATAAGTATTTTCCTATATTTAAACGTTTTACCTATGTTAGTTTTTTATTTGCTTTTTCGCATGCCTTTATGCACATTATTATTGCATTTGGAACCGTGTATTTGACAAAACATTTTGGACACTGGGGTATAGTGCTATTTATTATGATTCCAGTAATGATAGGGTTTTCGTTTGATATATATCATTTTGAACAGTTAGAAAAGAAACGGGTAACTTAATAGGCTTTGTGGCATGTATACTCAATGAATTCCACGAGCCCTCATTTTATTTGGCAGCGGTAGGCAAGCGGAGCGTACACGTCAGTACGTGAGCACGCAAATCCCTGATAAAATAAAAAAACAACTCTTGAAAGACGAAGAGTATATTTGCTAACAGATTAAAAGAAAGTATAAAGGGGTAAAAATAAATACAAAATCCAGGACTTTTAATAGAGAAGGAAGCCTTGAGCTATAATTTGTTAGCAAATATACGATTAAATAATAATATGCCTATTAAATCAACAAATTATTAGAGCACTACAGAAGTTAAGACTGTTCAAAGATTTAGATATTAAAGGTAAAAAGCGGTTAAAACCTTTAAAGATTAACAGCGAAGTTTACACAATGGCTCAACAAGGTAATTATCCAGTTATTTCAATAAATGATTTACGCATGTTAAGAAAAACATCAAAATTTCTATGGCTTTTTGTGGTAATGCTCTATAAATCACTTCTATAAAAATTTCCTTCACAGAACCTAATCGAAGTAATTGGTTTGGTCTCATATGTTCTAAAGGTCGAGTGCAAACTGCACTTTCTCTATGTGGGAGCTATACTGCTCGCAGCTGATTTAGAACGGCCTTACACCTGATAATCATGTTTTGAGCTAATAAAAAAGTTAAAATGCATATGAAGAACCGCTTCAAGTATGCATTTTTCCTTATTCAATATGCCAATTCTTGGAGTTGAGCCGGTATATTCCCATATAGGGATCATACTTTTTGTCGAGATTTCTCTCCTATTAATTTGCAAACCTTTCCTTGGCGTACTCAGATCAAATGTCCCCTAGATCTACGATATATTATCGGCTCCTATTACTGGTACTTCTGACATCAACGAATCTGTAGCTAAATCTTCTCCTCCAGATGATGTAGCGCCGGTTACTACGCTGTCATGCGTATCGTCTAGAGCCTCTTTTTTAACACACTCCTCAGCAGCTCCTTCTACTTCTTCTGTCTTAACTTGAACACTTGCTGCTTGTGAAACATATTGATCTTTCGTAGGATATATAACCTGAAATAAAATGTAAGCTTGGTTCTTACATCCCTGAGAAAGAGCAGTTGTTAGGTCACTAGTTTGGCTGCTATTTACATTTAACTCTGACAGGAGAGAAGAGAAGTTATTATAAAATCCTATTTTATCGTAATATATATCCCTCATTCCCTTACAATTATCTAGGTTTTCTAAATAGGTTAACATATTTATTACCACCTCCTCAAGGTGAGGTGTGTACGGTTTTCCATTCACGGTAAGAAGCTTTTTACATGTATCAATAGTTAATTCTCTCGACATTATTATACCTCTTTAATTAATATTATTTAATTTAGTATTAATAATGTATAAACTATTTTATCTTTTGAGTCAAGAATTATTAATACTAATTTAAAATATTAATAATTTAACATGAATTCGGGATGAAGAGGAGAGAATAATAGATAGAGGAGAGGCTAAGAATACAAGACTATAGTATAAATTCAGTTGAACTTGCATATAAAGCGCTGGGCACGAAACTTGGACTCACGGGTGAATAACGAGCAATATCGTACTTAAGTGCAAAATCACTGGACTATAATTCTTCACCTTTATAAATAGGCTCTATCCCATATAATGATATCAATCTTTCTAGGACTCTCGCTACCGTAGGGGCCGCAGTCCACCGAGCTGTAGCAAAGCCGAATGACTCTTTAATACCTTTAGGCTCATCAAACATAATATAGATAACATATTGGGGATTATAAGAGGGGAGTATCCCTAAAAATGATGAAGCCCTACTGTTTTTAAGGTACCTTTTTTTACCCGGCCCGGAAGATAATTTTTCGGCCGTTCCTGTTTTCCCTCCAACTAAATAGCCTTTTACTTCAGCTCTTTGACCTGTTCCTTCTCTTACTACTATCCGGAATAACTGATTCATCTGCTTGGAAGTTTGCGCAGAAAAAACCCGCATGCCAAGAATCCTAGACTTAGGTCTTTTGGTTAAGGTAAGGTCGTACAATATCCCACCATTTACTACCGGTATTACTGCTTGCATAAAATGTAAAGGACTTACTGATAAACCATAGCCATAAGACATAATAGCAGTAGTAAGATCACTCCATCTTTTATCAGAAGGAAACAGAGGGGTGCCTCTTTCTGGGATCTCAATTTTCAACTGATCTAATAAACCTAACTTCTTTAAATACTCCTTAAACTGCTGCTTACCAACCTCAAAAATAATTTGAGTAGCTCCAGTATTCGAAGAATGTAAAAAAATTTCTGAAACACTGTGCCATCCTGGTATATAATGAGTATCCTTTATATTAAATCCCCCCACTTTCAAGTAACTAGTATCATAAGCATCATTCATGGTGATACAATTAACATCAAAAGCTACTGCCATAGTTAACGCTTTAAATACGGACCCCATTTCGTATATACCAAGGCTGGCCATATTAAATAATTCTTCTGGTTTAGCTAAATTAGGATAATGAGGATCAAAATCAGGCTTACTAACAAAGGCTAAGATTTCTCCATTATTAGGATTGGCAATTATTCCTACCGCCCCTTTGGCACTAAATTCTTTGGCAGTACGTTCTATTTCTTCATTCAAAATATTCTGGAGCCTGACATCTATCGTTAATTCTAAAGGCTTGTTAAGCTGTTCTTCTCTACTTCTATCAGGATCTGAGTTAGTTAAAAACTGCTCGTAGGCTCTTTCTAATCCCGCCATGCTCACTAAATCCCTATTTACATATCCTATTACATGCGAGAGTAAATGAGAAAAAGTATAAACCCGTTTTTGTTCCTGCTCCAATACAAAACCTGGCATGCCTAAATTAGATATGGATTCATGCTCCTGGGGCAATAGGTCTCTTTGTATCCATACAAAACTTTTGTCCGTTTTTAGATCTGCAAGTAGCTTAGTTTTATCGATTCTGGGCAATATTTCTGCTAATTTTTCTAAACATCGCTTAGGATTAATGACTCTTTGAGGATTTGCATACAAGGATGCAGAAGGTAAATTTACGACTAATAATGTGCCATTACGATCTATGATTTCCTTTCGAAATGTGTTTTTTATGTTATACTCCGTTTGCTTAATATAGTCACTGGTGGCTATAATTAGTAAGCGATATGATAAGCCACAAAAGAATAAAGCAAAACATCCACTAACCGTTAATAATCTAATTTTTGACTGACTCACTAAACAACCTCTTCATTAACCCTCCTCCTTCATTAAGCTCCTGGAATATTTGCTCTAAAGTCTAGGAACGTTTGGGTTAATGAAGAGGTTGTTTAGTAAGTTTTACAGATATATAAGCTTACATAGCATGTATAGAGCGGACCGATGATCATGATACAAAAAAACAAAGTGTGCTTAGAGCAAGAGGAAATTTTTTTCAGAATGCGTATTTCTGTTCTACAGATACGTTGTAGAGACAAACTGTTGCAAGGTTTCAGGAACTCATTTCTCATGGACAACATTAAACTAGGCTAATTTCCATAAAAATGATACGTCTTTCTTCCTTGAGATAAAGATATTTCTATTTTTGAATCCTTCATGAACAGCTTCATTCCGCAAGCTGAAAACGTATACTGTCCAACTGAATCTGTTTACAGTCTCGTCTAGTCTAAAAAGCCTGTTTCTTGAGTTTCAGTCTTTTAATGAAACTGAGGAATAATATTTCATATCAAATATTCGTAAAAAAAATTGAGAGATTTCTCACGTGCGATATTGAGTATTCCTTGAGGCTTGCATGGGTAATGTAGTAGCGATTGATCGAGATCCGAATGTTAAAATTTATGCTGATCAGTTAATAAATGATTATCCAGGTAGAATGCAATTTATGCAGTCAGATTTTGCAAGTAGTGTTGGGAAGTTAGGGTCAGCAAGATTTGATGGGATTGTAATGGATTTAGGTGTTTCTTCCATGCAGCTTGATTCTAGGGCAAGGGGTTTTTCATTTACTTATGATGGCCCCCTTGATATGCGAATGAGCCATAGTGGATATAGTGCGGCAGATTTTATAAATAATGCTGGGGAGCAAGAAATCGCGGATGTGATTTATCAATATGGCGATGAAACGTATTCCCGGAAAATAGCTAGAAAAATTATTGAGCAAAGACAGCAAGAACCTATAACTAGTACCTCGATGCTAGCAAGCATTATCCACAGTAGTAGAGGACCTAGGCAAGGTAAAATCGATTCTGCTACTAAAACTTTTCAGGCATTGCGTATTTATGTTAATGATGAATTAGGTCAATTAGAACAGTTTTTGAATAATTGTAAAAATATTTTAGCCAGCCAAGGAAAATTGATCATAGTATCCTTTCACTCGTTAGAAGATCGAATAGTTAAGAATTTTTTTAAAGCTAATGCACCTAAGTTGGTAGCTCAGTCTAAATATTCTGCAAAATCAGAACGAATGGAAAATAGTAATAAATGGCTTAAAGTCCTTACCAAAAAGCCATTAACCCCGCCATTAAGCGAAATCCTCAATAATCCAAGGGCGCGCTCTGCAAAGTTAAGAGCTGGTCAAGATTTCAGACTGTAAGATGCCTAAATGCCGATATTTTTAAGGAGAATAGTGTAATGATGTTAATTAGGATGGTTAGTTATGTAGTGCTAATTATTGTAGCTATTTCTATTTATGATTTATTTACTATTAAGGCTAAAGTTGCTAGTTTACATTACCAGATTAGTACCGTATCTAAGCAATTAGTAGAAGAGAATAATATGCTGCATATTTTAAAAGCAGAACAAGCTTATCTTACTTCGCCCACTAGACTTAGAAAATTAGCTTCACTCTATTTTCAGCTGGATAATATTAAGATTACTCAAATGGTTAGTGATTCTTTATCACATACTGAGGCTAAATATGTAATATCTCCAGAGGAGGGATTACAGTATCTTACTAAAACCACTGCTAAATGGCGTTACAAGACCCATAATAATAATAAATATATTAAAACAGTTTCTAGTAAGAAGGCAGAATAACCTATGCAGCAGATGACTAGTTTATTGTTATTCATGAAAAATATCTTAATAAAAATAACAAGAAATTTTAGCGATATTATTGTATGGGATGTTTTAGTTGACAATACAAAAATTAGATTATTAACGGTTAGTGGATGTTTTGCTTTATTCTTTTGTGGCTTATCATATCGCTTACTAATTATAGCCACCAGTGACTATATTAAGCAAACGGAGTATAACATAAAAAACACATTTCGAAAGGAAATCATAGATCGTAATGGCACATTATTAGCCGTAAATTTACGTTGAAGATGAGAATGTAACAGAGCACGGGCTTTTAAACTATAAGGAAATTGAAATGGACGTTCTTTTGTTTTCTCTTGTACATCTGGTAAATCTTTTATTAGCTGAAATAACGTCATAAGTGTATTTATAAACTAATATTTAATTTAGAGAACATTTACTTTAGGCAATTCAGTGTTATCACTTGGACATTCGATAATCGCTGGATTTCGTGTTTTTTCGAATTCCATTGATGAGCCCAGTATCATCAGTGCACCTAAAAAGTGCGAACATACACACATATATATTTTTTTTGCTAAAAATAAGCATAAGTAACAGACAGAAGAATATGAATAGATCAAAAGAAGAAGATTGTTTTTCTGTGAGATATATGTATTATAAGCTGCCCTATCGTTATTTACCGTGTACAACTCAAATTGAAAATGATAATGAAGAAGAATATCACTTCTGCAAATTTCCTCCATGTCAGCATGTAATAATAAACGAAAGTATAAAGAGAATACTGAAAACATGGTAATGTTTACAATCGTTCTACGACTTCAAACTACTGTGTGTAAGAATGTCTCAAAATAGAAAAAAAATTGTTTCTCATATAAGAAAAGTACTATGCTTCTGACATGAATGAGAAAACAATCGAAACAAAGAAGATTTCTTTATTTATCGTCTGACGTACAAATGGATGAAGTTATGAAGTATTTACAATAAGAAGGATGAAATTGAACTAACTCATGATAAATCATAAATATAAGAATACTGCAAAAAACAACATGAAAATAAATTAATCTAAAGTATTGTATGATACGAAGTATTTCATCATACAATAAAAGAAAAAACATACGTTTGATAATCATATTTGGTGTTCGTCCAAGTAGAATATAATATAATTGTGCTGTCTCAATAAGAATATGATCACCAGCATAACGTGCTGATTTTTGCCACCAAACACACTAAAAATAGAAACATCTTCAACATTTTATCGTCAAAAAGGTACATTCTATTTACCACAATAACCGGCAATACAATCATAAATATTCCAGCATACGCTAAGAGAACAAATACAGAATTTTTATGATCAACAAGCCATTTTGGCAATGCAATACCAAAGTGAGTTACTAAAATGAATGATCAAATATATATGGATTAAAGTTAAAAATTCATTCCTGTCTATTTACCACCACGTCCATCTGGATTACCATACTGTTTCCAATTATTTTTGGCTTCTTCATCTGTCAATGTTTTATAAGCTTTGGAAATTTCTTTCTAAAAACGTACATTAGTTGTTGTTGTTGTTGTTGCTGTTTTATTTTAAGAAGAAATAGCATTAAAATCAGAAGAATTAATTACTTACAAACTGTTCTGGATCACCACCACGATCAGGATGATGTTTTTTACTTAATTCACGATAAGCACGTTTTATTTCAGCCACGGTTACTTCCTAAAAATAATGTCAACAAACTTTTTTCCTATTGATATTATACAATCTACAAGTAGCGGATAGACCAGATTAAATGCTCTTTTCACTAATGTTAAATGTTACTTACTAAAGAATTCTGAAGAAAATAGCACATCTCCAGGCTGTCTATAAGGCTTGGTCACAGGAATGTTTTGATATTTTTCACGCGCTTTGTAGCTATTCGTAAATCGACTGGCTTTCCCTTGTGTGAAAAAGCCTTATAGACACCTTACAGATGTCTTATTTACCTCAGAATTCTTTGCTCTATCAGGCTATATGGTTCGCAAAATTTTCTGACCAAAAACCATGAACTTGGTTTTCTAGCGGTCAGGTTTTCCAGAAACCCTATTATCAGCTTTTCTCATGAAACGATGATATGCACCTCATCTGTTAGAAAAATCGTCAGGCTATTCAAAACAGTGTTCAGATTGGTTCCAGCTTTTACCGAGAAATAAAAAAGAAAGGAGTTCTTGTGATTATGACACACTGTAGCGCATAGATAACACCCAAACGCTTCTTTGAAGCGTTTGGGTTCCTCACCTTACTTTGAAATCGGACGAGAAATTTGCAGAAAAGGGTAAATGGCTTTTGTTGAACTGGTGGCGGAAAAGGAAAAGCAATTTTTGTCTGAAAGACATGAGAAGGAACTTTTAAAAGTGGGAAGTGAAAAGGGAAGCATTTCCACTCGAAATCATATTAGGCATTTTCTAGCAGAAACCGTTCCCCGTCCTTTAACGATGAAAAGCAATCTCTCTTTTGAGTTCATAAGATCCATGTAGTCAAGCATTCGTTTTACGCTTGTGCTGGGTTTTTTACGTCTCACATGCACTGTATAAGATTCTCATTGATTTTAAACATAAGCTATATGGCTTTGTCCAGACTACACGATGTTAATCGCTCTGCTTCTTTGTTTAGTGATTTATCTATGTATTTGTTAATTTGATTGAGTAAAAATAGTTTTTCGAATGATTTTCGTAGTCTTTTTGTTAACTTTTGTTTTTCTTAGATTATTATTCGTTTTATTTTCAGAAAATTGATATATTTTCAAATGAATAAACCAAAAAAAGAAAACAAGGAATTCAAACATTTATCTGTGTATGAACCAGCTAAATAGCGTCCAATTTTTATTAATAAATCAACAACTGAATATTGTTATGAAGTATGTATGAGAAACAGGAACAACCTTACGTTGAAATCTCAATGTTGAAATTGTTTTTTTGTTTGTATCAGGTAATTTTTATTTTTGAACAAATTTTTGCCGTTATATTTTTTGTAAAATAAAATGAAGAGAAAAGAGAGAAAACGACGAAAAAAAATATAACGTTATTGTAAATAAAATGTCTTTAAGGATGCAATGTGATATGAGCGAAATATACGCGTATAATTAGTTTTAATGTTCTTTTATAACAAAGATTTTGTAAAAATACTTAAAAATTATTTATTTGCGTAACTGAATGATCGTATTTGTTGTCAATAATTGATAATGTTAAACATTGTATAAGAAAAATTCTTAATTTTAAGGTACTAAACAACGCCATTATCGATTTCTCCCGTTTGTGTAATATAAGAGATTTTACTATTTTAAATAAGATTTTTCATATTTTCTGACCATATCCGAGCATTCTATTCAATGAATTTGAGTTTCACACGTTTGAGATTGATTACACTTTTTCATGTAACTGAAGTGTGGAGTCAAGATAAGTGACTGATAAACGGAGTAACCGACAATAAATAACCCACTGGCGCACAGTGGGCATCCAGACGGAAATTAGGCAAAAAATTAAAGTTGCTCGTTTCTCAAAGATAAATAGTGCAAAATGTAGCCCTTTCAATTCTCTATCGAATGGTGTATGAATGTCTATTGTGATTTTCACTTCTTCATGGAGAAATCAGGCCACAAAGGAAGGTCCCAAAACATCATACGTATGCACAAAACGCCGTTTTCTTCTTTATACACCTACGTTTAATGATTTCAAAGCACATATT